AAACACATGGAAGTAAAGTACTTGGTTGTTAGAGAGAGAGTCCAGAAACAACGAGTGTTAATTGAAAATTTAAGCACCTCTCTTATGATTGTTGATCCATTCACAAAGGGATTGCCACCAAAGGCATACAAAGAGCATGTTATCAGGATGGGTCTTTTAAGCAACCCTTGATGTGTATGGTTAATCATGAGTGCTTATTTTTTTTTTGACACTATTTGCGCAATAATAATTTTGTTTCTGTTTTTCCTGTTTCTAAAAGTGTGTGTACACATTATTTTGAATATTGATAAACAGGAAATGTCTTAACAAGACAAATTACAGGGGCCTTTCAGGCAAATAATTATACATCCCAATAAAGGATTGGGTTGGTGAAGGTTATCAATGATGTGGTGCATAGAAGGAAATATGACATAAATGTTATATAACCGCTATGAATCACATTGGTGATCTGAAGTAATCACAGTATTATAGTTTCTAATATATCTGAACTTATTGGTTATTTTTTAAAATTCGTGATCACATGTCAATGTTTTTAGTGTGGAATCCAATGAGTCAAAATTTTTTAAGTTGCATATTTTTTGAAAAAAACTCATAATTGCATCATAATCGGCTTAATGGGCCAAGTGGGAGAATGTTAGATTTATTTTTCTAGTGTGGCCCAATAGCCTACATATTTTCTACATGTTTTAATTTATTTGGACTCCACAAATAGATAAAGCCAATATTTGAGATCAAGTTCAGTAAATAGAATTTTAATATAATCACTCTTCTAAGATAAGAAGGAAACCTTGATGGATTAGGAATTCTTCTGATAGAGTTTATCTGGCCCTCCCTCTATATAAGGATGGGTGACTCTCCTTTCATATCATGAGTATTTTTCCATCACTTTAAGTTTTATAGTCATCCTAATTAAGAGAGACAGAGAGAAGAGGTGAGCCAAAATCTAAAGGTTAAACTCTAAGGGGTATTTTCTCAACTTCTCTAATTCAATGGCGTCTCAACTTCTCTAATTCAATGGCTGACAAAGGTATATTCGTTTTATTCTTGAGTTGTATTGAATTCAAGATCCTGTAAAGTTTAATTCCGCATTATTATTATGGTTACATGTATTATTAAATCTTACACATACGTGACATATGTTATGTTTTTCAAGGCAAAATTATAAACTTGTTCAACTCAGTAAAAAAAAACATCAACCAATTTAGTGATGATTTTTCATAAAAAATACTAACGGCATTATCAATTAGATTAAATTGATACAAAATTTAAAATTAATGGTCAAAATTGAGCAAATTAAAAATATAGAAATCAAAAGAACACAATAAATAAAATGAAAGGACTATTGGTGTAATTTGTCCTAATGAAAACTTATTTTGATAATAAAAGTGAAAGTATAGATTGTTTTGAAAGATGAAATTCACTCAAATCAACTCATTTTTTATTAATTGCAAAACAGTTTTTCTTGATTTTTGTTTTCATCATACCAAATATTAGAAAAAACAGAGCACATAAGTCCATAAAAAATTCATTAATTCATCAAGTCTCATACATAGTCCTTTCTGGTAATAGGGTTTGAGATATGTAGGCAATTAGCTTCTAAGGGAATCATAGTGGTGTTGACTGCTAGAGATGAGAAGAAGGGTTTTGAAGCCCTTGAGAAACTCAAAAGTGATGGCCTCTCTGATCATGTGGTGTTCTGTCAACTTGATGTTGTGGACCCATCTAGTGTTTCTTCCCTTGCTGAGTTTGTCAAGTCCAAATTTGGAAGGCTTGATATCTTGGTATGATACACAACCCAATTGTCAAATTTTCTATTTTTGTTCATTTAATTTATAATTATCATTAGTTTTTGTGCAGTCTCAGTCAACAGCGATAAGCTTGCCTCAATTGTAAATTTTATAATTAGAATTCCTATTCTGATAAACTTTGGCAATACATATTTGGTTGCCTTTATAGAATGGAAGCAGTATGATTATGTTATTCAACAAGAAAGTTAGTTGTGTTTATGGAGTGAACTTTGTCTTTACTTATTAATGAGAGCCATATATATATATATATATATATATGTATATAAAGAGGTAAGGCTTTCAATCCAAATTTCTAGAAAGATCTATTACTTGTTTCTTGTTTCCTTGAATGTTTCAGTGATTTTTAATGAAGTAAATAACGAAAAAGCTCGAATTCTTGTAGGTGAACAATGCTGGGATTCTTGGAGCCAAGATGGATTGGGATTCTTTGCAGTCATCAAAGGGTAGTACGGTGAGCCTTTATGCATGATTCATTTCATTTTCCCACAAGTAAATTCAAATTGGTGTGATTGCATTGATGCATACATCCGATGGCCACTGATATCTATTTTTCTTTCTTTTGTTTCACTAAGTTGCATGATTTTTTCATAAAAAAGTTAAGATCTAACCTAATCTTTAAGTTTTCTTGCAGATCACTATTAATATTGAATGATTCCACATAGAAAAGCAAGAGAGCAAAAGTGCACTTTTTATTAAAAAAAATATATATATATATTTGGACAAGGTTTTCCTACAATCCGTGTCAGAGAAACCTTTTGTTGCCTCATGTGCGAGAACCTCTAAGATAATTCATGTGCATAATTTACGTGATCAAAAGATCCCAAAAGTCATCATACTCCTTTTCAATAATTCTTTCATGTTGTTTTGAAAAAATCAATCACTATATTTCAGGAGAAAGAAAAAAGTGGTTGAAGAGAGTGGGGAGTGCTTAGAGTTTAGTTTATAAACTCAGTCAAAATCACCTCAATTGGCTTCTAATTTCATGCTTTGGTAGTTAAACCTAAAAATTAAAACAGGGTTGGAATTATGCTTTTTAGGTAATAGGTAATAGAAACCACAAGGATTGTTACTGAATGATCTCATTAATGCATTAATGCAGGAAGAAGTCGTGAGCTCATTTAAAAAAATAACGACTCAAAGCTACGAGTTGGGTAATGAATCGATTTAGATCTGCTGACAAGTCACTTGCTGGCACTATTATGGCTGAATTGACAACAATGAAACATGATGGCAACCGAGGAGTTCAGGATTACATCCTCAATATGGCTGACAAAGCTGCAAAGTTTAAAACTTTAGGAATGCAAGTTGATGAAACTTTCCTCGTGCAGTTTATTCTCAACTCACTTCCATCACAATACAGCGCATTCAAAATTCACTATAACACCAATAAAGATAAGTGGAATTTGAATGAGCTGACTAATATGTGTGTTTAGGAGGAAGTGAGGTTGAGGGAGGAAGGACGTCAAACTGCATTGGTTGTAACTCATGGAGCTATAAAGAAAAAGAAGAGTAAGTTTGTAAAATCAAAGAAAAATCCACCAAAGAAAAAAAATGAACCTGGGAAAGAAAATCAGGCTAAGAATGGTTTCACTGTCAAGTGCTACTTTTGTGGCAATAAGGGACATGTGAAGAAAGACTGCAGCAAGCGAAAGGCTTGGTTCGAAAAGAAAGGTAAAGAAATTTTCTTTTGTTTGTTATGAATCAAATCTTGCTGAAGTACCTTCTAATACGTGGTGGATTGACTCTGGGGCCACGACCCACATTACAAATGGCATGCAGGGATACCTCTCAACCAGGAAATCGAAGGAAAGTGAAAGATTTGTCTATATAGGGAACCGTCTCAAAGCTGAAGTCGTAACTGTAGGAACCTATCGACTGATCTTAGAGACGGGTCATCAGATGGATCTAGAAGACACTTTTTATGTTCCTTCAATTTCTAGGAATTTAGTTTCGTTATCCTGATCTTTGCATCTATGAAAATTTTTCCTTCTCTCTTGTTTGCAAATACTCGATTTTTATATGGTCTCATAATGAAATTAAAGGGAGTTAAGCATAGTGAAGATTTGTGTTGTGTGGTCCATACATTTCCTTTCTCATGGAAGTGGAGGTTTTGTTTTCATATTTTCAAATTTATTGTTGCCAATTGTAGTTGATCTTAGTTTCTCAAATTTTGATTCAGCTAATACTTAGTGAATGGGCTAAAGGAGTGTTGAATGATGTCGAAAGCCTTACAGAAGAGAGAGTAGAAGAGGTACTGAATGAGTTTCTAAAAGATTTGAAAGAAGGTGCATTAGAAACCAAAGGTTGGCCGACTTTTTTGTTTGCATATACAGTGAACGCGTACACAAGAATTCTGGCCAAGAAGTATCCCACATTCCGCATCAATTGTGTTTGCCCCGGTTGGACTAAAACAGATATAAACAACCACATCGGCAAACTAACTATAGAACAAGGTGCTCAATGTCCTGTGAAGCTAGCTTTGCTACTTGATGATGGGCCTTCCGGCCTCTTCTTTGCTAATAATGAACCATCGTCTTTTGTGTGAGAATTGCTTGCTTCAATTTTGCAGATGAAGATATAAATATATAGATATATACACACATTATGTGAATTTTTATTTTCATTTTATATGGATCATGTAATCAAAATTTAATATATATGAAAATTTGTGCCTTTTCATTTTATTTATTTATTAATTTTTATGGTTTATGCAATCAAAATTTAATAGTTCTCAAATTTGTGACAGTAAACATAGACAGACGCGCGCACAAAAGTTAAATGCCTTTATGATGGAATTTTATTTTTATTTATTTATTTATTTATTTTGGGATAGTGAACACAACCAATGTGATGGGACTTAAGACTTAGTTTGGTTTGGTATAGTGAACACAGCCAATGTGATTTTTTTTGAAAATTTTTGTGTTTGGAATTTGGATTAGTGGAGGGGAAAAAAAATAGGAAAATGAGAAGAAAAGGAAATGAAGTACAAACTCTTCCCTTTTTTTTCATCTGCCCTTTTCTTTTATTTTTTTCAACTTTTTTTTTCATAAATCCAAGATTGAAACATTGCTTAAAGGAACACGTTCCTATAATTTCTTGGAAAAATTAAAGGATTAACTTTTTGTTTTATTTATACTTGTGTATGTTGTCCACTTGATCTGATTAAGATACAGGACTTAATTTAATTATTTTGATTGGTTATATTATTATTATTATTATTATTATTATTATTATTATTATTATTATTATTATTATTATTATTATTATTATTATTATTATTATTATTATTATTATTATTATTATTATTATTATTATTATTATTATTATTATCAGAGCCAAGTGATGTTGTATCCTGTTTCTAACTGTTTAGCTACTTTTGATCAATCGTCTTCCTTGTTTGTTTAATTAATCCTGTTTTCAGTTCATCTTAATCACCTGAAAGATCAGTTTGTTTTATCCACCTAGTTTAAGTCACCCACTTCTTCCCAGTCTTGTGTAAGTCCTTCGGTTTAGGCACAGTCAGACTTTGGGGTCTAAAGATAGGGTATGTATGTATACTAGGTATGTGATAAAATTGACAAGAATAGGGTATGTATTAAGATATCTGTCAAACTGGTTAATTAAACTGAAACAATGAATCGATTATTTAGAAGTAACTCATCAGTCAGTTCTAGGTCAACAACCTTGCCTTCCATACCTAATCCAGGAATCATAATTAATGAAGAAGATGTTGAAATACAAAATGATCAAATTAATTCTGGCTGGAATATTCCAAAACTGCCTATTAAAGAGATTTATAAAACTTCTTTTATACAGGATGTTTTTAAAGTTACTCTCCATGTTAAAACTATTGAACAAGTTTATGCTTTAGAAAAACCAAGAGAAACCTGTCAGTTATTTGATAAAAAATTAATCAAACGACATTTAGATCATGGTTACAATTTTATGCATATTGGTCTAATTCAAATTGGCGTTAATCCATTAACTATGATAGGACAAAATACTTCTGTTTTACTCTGTTTAAGAGATGCCCGTTTTCTTAATTATAATGCTAGTTTAATGGGAATGATGGAAACTGGTCTTAATAAAGGTCCTGTACATTTTAACTGTTTTCCTGATTTTACTTTAAGTTTACGAGATCCACATATTCTCAAAGCATTAACATTAAACATTCAATTACATGGTGAATATACTGAAATGTTAGATTCTTCTCATAATATTGCTTTAATTTATCGTGTTCATTATAAATGTATGCAAACTAATTTAAATGTTCATGCTTTACATAAAAGTCCCAAAGATAAAACTTTACTAATCCAAAGCAGCAGTACTAATGAATCAAACATTAATATTCCTCACATGATTGAATGGAAAGATATTAATTTACCTGATCAATGGGTTATTGTCAATGAAAATTACAAACATAATCAACAACAATCTTCAATCCAAGATATTAAACATATCCAGCAAAATACTGATGGATCCGTTAATATTAAATTTAATCGCAATCAGTCTTCTAGACATAGTACATCTAGTGTCCCTTCTGAAATATCAACTGAAGACGAAATATTTAACACTCCGTTATTTCGAAAAAATAGTCAAATCCATCTTGGTCTTACTAATCCAATTTCCAAAAATAAATTAAAAGGAATTGATAATTCTACAACTTCTCAAATCAGTAAACCTGTTTATACTACTACCTCACATTTTCCTGAAGAAGACATAGCTTCAAATAATTCCTCAACTCAAACTGACTTCGAAGAATTTATACCACCTGTCAATCCTCAACTAATGACAATCAAAAAAGAATTTACTCCTGATTTAGATAAACTACTTATTGACTTTAGATCCAAAGATAATAGGACTAAGCGACATGCCTATCGTGCTAAATATGATTCTGCTCAACAATCTCGAATAACCAGAAAATGGTATGATTTTATGGTTCAATATGGTTTTGAATTATCTTTCTTTGATTATATGGATCAATATTACAAAAAGATTAATACAATCACCAAACATAAGTGGAAAACTTCTCCTAATACTTCTGTGAGCTCTAATCATCCTCCATTAGAAAATATAATTATTGATCACCAAGGATCTGAAGTTCCAGCCTCTCCTTTTAAGTTACCTGGCACTGACCCTGAAATCAAAAAAGTTATTGAACAAAATAATTATACTAATCAATGTTTAAAAACAATTGGTAAACAATTAGACAAATTAGAAACTAATTTAGATGACCAATCTGCCAAATCAACTAAATCTCTAGATCAACCGTTACTTAATCTACCGAGTCATCGCTCTAAACGAACTAGCTTAGTTACTAATGACCAATCTACCGTCAAAGCTATTGAACAATTATTTACTAAATTAACTCCCAATGATACTTCTACATCTAAAGATAAAGGTCTTTCTGTTTTGAATCAACAACCTATTAATACTGTATCTGATTAATCTGAAACTGACACTACTGATACTGAAATAAACCAATTGGCTCAACAATTTCAATCTTCTCATCTGAATAAAATCCACTATCCCAAAGTTAATCCCCACAATACCAAAAACTGGTATTCTAAACCAACTCCTGTCGATCTCCAATTTGAAGAGACAAATATTAGTAATCAATTTTCTGTTTCTGCCAAAAAATTATACGAGTGGAATATTGATGGTCTTAGTGAAGATCAAATCCTTCAAAAACTAAACCATTTATCTATGGTCGCCAATAGTTATCTCAGTAATTATCCCCAATACTCTCAACCTGAAATTGTTTCTTTACTTACTTCTGGTTTTACTGGTATGCTCAAATCTTGGTGGGAAAAATATCTCACTGAAACCGACCGTGATTCTGTTATTTATGCCAATCAAACTGATGAAAATGGTCTCCCTCTTTTCGATGAATCCGTAGGATGTTGTCACCCTGATGGAATTAATCAATTAATATATACAATCGTTCGACACTTTATTGGTACCCCTACAAATATTTATTCGCGCATCCATGATCAATTAAGTAATCTCAACTGTCCAACCTTAAGTGATTTTAGATGGTATAAAGATGTCTTTACCTCTCGCGTCATGTTAAGAGAAGATTGTACTAAATCATTTTGGAAAGAAAAATTTATTAATGGCTTACCTAGCTTATTTGCCCATCAAAATAGAGATGTTCTTAGTCAACCC